GCCTTACTACTAGTAACAGGTGCCTTACTAGTAGTAACAAGAAGCTATTAAGGTCGTAAAGTCGTGCCGCTGTGCCTGCACTCTTCACCAGCCGCTTTGCCCTCTCCCGCGCGTCCAATGCTATCACCTTTGCATACCTTTGCCACATGTCCTCCTCACCGTGGATTGCTTTGCACTCCTGGTTCATACTAGTAGTCCTCTCTTCTTTTTCTTCTTCCATATGTATATACACACATATATATATTATCATCATTTGGGTGCTCTCTTGCTTCAACTTGCTTCAGCTCCTTGACTTGTCAGAGGCTCCTTCTCCTGCATTTCCTTCACTCATCCATCAAGCCGTCATCGCCGACATTAGGCATCATCGCACTCATGGCCCAATGGTTGCCAGACAGGCCCGTCATTTTTTGTTGCCAGGCACCGTTGATTCAAGCAACAACTATGACTGCTGCAGCCTTGGCATTTCCGCCACAGCTCTTAGCCATTTTCACACCGGTCTTCTTCAGTTGTACCATTGGAGGGAAGGTCAGGAAATACGTCCTTCGCGACCGCTGCGCGAGACTGGGACATGAAAACAGAACACATTCTCTTGAGATTGGATACGCTGATTCTGATGCATCTTCCTCTCACTGGGGAACTGAATCCACTCCTGGCATTGAAGGCCGCAAAGCTTGCACGTGGATGAGTAGCAAAAGGTTGTGTTTTGAATTGGAAATGGAAAGAATACTTGAAGTGACCCAGTGGCTTGATTGATCCAGTGAATGGATTGCGATGGATGGGTTGCTACACTGCCAGTGTGGGACCCCTTCGCGAGACCTGTTCGCAAGATCGCCCCCACAAGACACCTGTGTGATGCCACAACATTCCAACACCACAGCGCCCCATTCGTGCTCGCACCGGGCCTCCCCAACTCCAGAGTTTTACTTCGGCCTGGATCTCACTGCATTCCTGGCCAAACTGCAGAGGCAGCCCAGACCTTTGCATCTACAGTACCTTTGCCTGCTGCAGCCATCCATGTGATTTTTTGGAAGGGAGGATGACTAGCATGTTGTCAAGTGCTCAAAACTCCGCTAGGAAAAAGGCCCACCTTGACTCTAAGGTGATTACCTCCTAACCCACTGGCCTCAAGGGACCAGCATCAAGGATGGGTCCGCTGCCTTGGCAGTCGCTGGTGCCTGAGACGTCCCGATCGGTGCAGTGGGATTGGTCTTGTCTTGACAATAGCCATCTGGCCAGGTCAGCCGACGACCAACCAAAAGAGAATCCAACACCTGTCCGTTATTGCAATTTGGTGTGTGAAGCTGCACGGGTCCCGACTCATGCAAACCTGCAACTACTCCACCCACCGTTTCTCCAAAACCCCATGAGAATGGAGGTTGGAAAACATGGGGGTGTCCATCCAAGGACAAGGTCAACGACCAGCTTGCCGACTGGGACCACTTGCTGACACGCAGACGAGACTTTCGTGAGGCTGATGTGGAACACAGCAGGTTGATAGATAGATAGATAGATAGATAGATATAGATATAGATATAGATAGATAGATATAGATATATATATATATACACTGTATATATATATATATTCATGGACGGTGCATGGGACCTGTTCCAAATCCCCGATTGAGTGTGAGATTCGGAATGGTTGCGGAAGATGTGTGCCGGAACAGGTGCTTTCCTTCTCGCACTTCCTGCCGAGAGTGGAGAACAACCCTGAGAAGAGATATCTCACACATCCCAACCTCGCGGTGGCCTTAGATCTGGAATCTATCCCTGCGTGCTAGAGCCTACCATTGTATTTGCGTCACTGTATTTCAGATCGTTTCGACCTGTAGGCCAAAGGCATTGGATCACAATATCTCCGAAAACGCGTGGATGACTTGCGGCCCAATGTCCATGCTGTGGACTCAACTGACATAGTCAGTGCTACAGTAAGAGAGGAAGAAAGGAACCTAAGGGCCCCTGTAGCAAGGGGCCTCATAACATGGGCCCTTACCTTTCTTTTTCCATTCTCTTCCCCTTGTTTGTACCATGTTATGTGGTTTCAATCCTAATGTTCCTTTCACAGCAGATCGCTCTCGCATATGTTTCCGCCATTTGTTCAATGTCTTCAGCCGCCGCACAGAGCTATTTTTGGTTGTGAGACGAAATGAGGTGTTTGGGCACACCCATTTTGGCTACGACCTTGAGGTGCCTGGCTCCATTTAAAAAGGTGAACCATTGCCATTGCGACGGGTTCCTCGGGCGTCAGGTTGACGGGGTGCGATATGTGCAGGCTCCACTGTCGATGCTCGGTGCCTCGGAGTTGGTTGCTCTTTGTGTTTGGTCGCTCGGTGGACGGAGAGCTCTATTGCTAAAGGTCAAGTGAGCGACATTCCAGGGGAACCACCGTAGTGTGAGCCCTTGGATCTGAGGATCTCAGACTGCTTCGGTCTTTCAAGCAGTTTCATGATGTCATTCTCACTGGCTTTTGACTTATCAGAATCTGCCATAATCTGCCATCATATGCTCAGGCACTGGGTGACTTCCCTGATGGTTTGCCCTTCTCGCATCCCTTTATGGTTCGCCCCGGAGTGATCTCAGTGGCAAAACGGAGTGATCTCAGATTGCCCGCGGTCGCACCGAGGTGTGGCACTCGCGCACAGGCTGGGCCCCAAAGAGCTTGGTCCTCGACGCGAACGGATCGTCGTTTTGAGTGACGACGTGATTCGGCCGAGGTCAGGGTGCTTGGTCTGCATATGTTGAGCGTTATGGCAGACGACCAGATGTGACGCTAAGCCCTGAGTTTTTTGGGAGCCTCAGCCTAGCTGCCTGTGTCGAGAGAAGGAAGAAAGTGCAAGTATAAATGCATGTCAATGCTATCTGCTATATTCTGCTATCAGGTGTCAGATATCAATTGCTTTGTGGGTGGAGGATGGTGGAGGTTGATATTTCAGAGTTTTGATGGGGATCAGTGTCTCACACCCAGGTGGCTCATTCCATCTTACGTAAGGAGCTCGGCGCAAAACATCCATTCCATGTGCTGACATGTCCTGACTTGGGTGGTTCATCATGGTTCACCTATCATGCTCGTGGAAGGTGGCTGATGGCCTCGAACCAGCACCTAGTGGGACCCTCAGACTTGGATAGTTTTTCTAGCTGAGCAGAAGCCTCCCCTGCAGGCGCAGGGATCACCCCAAAGGTAGGGTGGCTTCCTGGGAGGCAGGTTAAAATAAAAAGAACGAACATGAAAGAACACGTTCATAAGTGCAGCCAGTGGCTCATTGGCTGGGCTTGTTGATGCTTGTTGCCAGGATGCCCGTTTGGCTCTTTGGCCCGAAGTCGCAGAGGATACAGGAGGCGAGTTGCTTCAGCAAAGGCTCCAGCCATCATCTCCCTGAATAGGGGTTCTAGTAACTAGAACGTCCGAGGACTTCCCACCTAATAAACACAAATGGCGATGGCCTCCACCCCAAGAGCGATGGCCTCCACCCTAATTATCATAATAGAATCAAAACCTCAAAACCATTTCTAGTTCTTAATTTATTTTGGGCAGGCAGCCGCCGAGTCCCGAAAGATCTCGGAGCGCTTGGCCAAAGAAGCTGTGGGCGGCCTAGGAAGCCTTTGAGCCTTTGATGCAGCTTTTGTGCTCTCATCTTGGCTGTTTGGAGCCTATTGTGAGGCTGGCACATATCGAAGGAACAAGAATCATGCACCAGGGACGGAGGAGCCCTTGCCAATTGAGGCATCCGAGGCCAGGCACTGTGCTGAGAGTGCCAACTCACAAGAGAGATGTGGGGCACATCAATCAGCATACAGTACTGTAAGTGTGAATCCGTACCCGTCGGCCGTCGTGCCGCATCGACAACCCACGAAGCTGTGGGGCTCGAGATCTTAGGAAAAGGACGTCGCTGCCACTTTTGAGTGGCAGCGGAGCAGGTTCGATCCAGGGGCCGGCGCAACGGTGGGCGCTCGAGCTGGCTATGGCGGGGCTTGGTTTTCTACCTCCTTGGGGACCTGGAGGGTGGGGTTTTCTCGAGTCTCACGGCGGTGGGGATGACCTCGTACTATGACACGTTTGAGGTCCAGGTGGAGCCCAATGCCAACTCCGAGGTGGATTCAGAATGGGAGAATCCCATGGAGCAGGCCAGTGGGTTGGGAGGCAGCGACGAGTGGCATGTCCCAGGTGATGGCCGTTCGTGGACTACATCATGGGGATCCTGGAGGAGAAGCTGGCAGGGCCATGGACAGCAAGAGAACTGGTCGTGGGATGGACGACGGTCTTGGGAAGGCCACGGCTCTGACGCGGGGAGCTTCGACTCGGGTAGAGAGAACTGGACTTGGGAGGACCAAGGACATCGAAGCGATTCGGGACAAGGACGGCGTTCGGGAGTTCCGAGTTCACGTGACGATCAGGGACAAGGTCATGGCAATTGGCGATGGACGCCACAGGCCTCTCCGGTCTCACCGCCGGCTGGCGGTTTTGACCGACATGGCAACCCGCCATCTGGAGAAGTCTCATCGGTGGGGGATGATTTTCGTCCGAGGGGACCAGGACACGAGGGCAAGGTGGGCATCAACGCCAAGGGCAAGGTCAGCAGCTCTTACCCGCCGATCTTTAGAGCCAAGGCGGGAGAGAGCTATCGGGATTGGCGGCGGGCCCTCGAGTTTTGGTTGGGAGGAGAAGGCCATCAAATTCCAGAAGAGTACATCGGCCCCCGAATAATGGTGCAGCTGCGGGACAGAGCCACACAGTTGGTGAAGCACCTCAACAACGAGGACGTGAACAAACCTGGAGGCATGCAGAAGATCTTCGACGTCCTCGAGCGCAGCCCCTTGGTCAAGCAGTTGGACAAGCACCGCATTGACCAACAGAGGAAGAGGTTGATGGCCTTGACTCGCTACGCCGGCGAGTCGTTGGAAAGTTACATCACGCGGGGCAGCATTTACCGCGCCCAGCTTTTGGGCCTCGATTCGACCTTGGAGATGGGCGAGAGGTTCTATGTTGGACACCTGCTCGATCACGCCCGTCTGAGTCGCAGGGACAAGGTGCTGGTCAGGGCGAGGGCTGGTGACGAGTCCGAAGAAGCGATCACCAACGCCCTGGTGGAATTGGCTTCGGAATTGGAAGGAGAACACGGGTTCCCCATCGGGGCCTCGGAGCCAAACAGTGCTGGTGCCAACGGAGATGAGTGGTTGGTTCAACGGGGTTCCACGGGAGGACTTCATGCTGGCCGGCGTGGAGGTGCTCGACAGGCCTTGGCGGCGGAGGTTGCGAGCGAGTTTGGGGAAGAGGAGACCACCCAGGCCGAGCCCGAGCCCGGTGAGGACAGTGTGGATGAGGACGCCCCCCCCCGAGCTCAAGGAAGTGGAGAGGGAAGCCTACGCCCTTCACTACAAAACAAAACAACGCATGGCGAAGGTCAAGAAGCTTCGACAATACTACCGGAAGGGCGACCAGGTTGAAGATCGCAAGAAGGCCCTTGCCGACAAAATCAAAAACACAGCTTGCCACAACTGCGGCGAGATTGGGCATTGGAGTAGAGAGTGTCCTCAACCGAAGGCACAACCTGTTTTGATGGCAGCTCATGCCATGTCTCCCGCTCAGGGTCGATCCTCTCGGAAGAAGAAGTCGGCATCCTCTTCGATGGCCTTGACATCCCTTCCGGAAGAGGTTGATAGTGGTCACGAGTGGGACCTTTTGGTTTCTTTGTGCACGCCCAACGAGGCCGTACCACGACCATCGACAGCGCAGGCATACATGACGCTTCCTTGTGGGCGGAGCATCGGTGATGGAGGGGATGAGCATGAGGTTTTATGGTGTGTGAAGGAGTTGGCAACTGCAGTCATTTTGGACATTGGTTGTCTCAAGTCGGTGGCGGGCACGGTCTGGATAAACCAACTTCTCAAAAGGTGGCAGCTCGCAGGTCGATGGTTTAAAGTTTTCCAGGAGAAGGAGGTGTTTCGTTTTGGGAGCGGGGATACACTCACCAGCCACTACGGAGTGCAGCTCTTCGCAGGGAAGCCGGTGGTCCTCGGGTTCTCAGCCGTGAAGGGAGAATGCCCCCCCGCTCTTGTCTCGGCATGCCTGTACTCAGCTAGGTGTGCAATTCGACTGTGAACATCATGTTCTAACATCTCGGAGGTTGGGGGTCAAGAGATATGGGTTGAGGCAAACCACCAGTGGCCATTACATCATGGACGTGGCCGAGTTCGAAGGGGAGAAACCAACGGAGGTTCTAGAAGACTTTCGACTGGAGGCAGGCCAGGAGGCCTGCAGCTTGGAGGTGATCAACAGTGTTTTGGTGGGTGAGATTTTTGGCTCAGGCACGACACTTTGTCCTTTGTCAGCCACCTCACATGTCGAGGGCCAGCGGCCGCTTCTGCCGGGTATGCGGAGATCCATCTCACCACAGTCGGGACTGCCCCAATGTGCAGTCAGACGACGAACAACTGGTGCACCTGCAGAGCGCGCTGGACATGGACATGGAGAGCCAGAAGGGCTGGGCGGAACTTGCCGGTCGCAGCAGCAATGCATCAATGAGGAGCTTCCTTCCGGTGGAGCGCCCATCCCCGAAGAAGGCGCCCAAGGCCGCCTCGCGAGCCATGGGGAGTGCCCAGATGACTCCACCACCAGTGGAACACTACCGCCTCGACCAGGACGAGCAGGAGACCATCACCGTCCAGGAGCTCACCCCCCAGGAGGTCGCGAAGATCGCCAAGGCCAGGGCTCGCGCCAAGCAGTCGAAGGCCAAGCGCGAGGAGACCAAGGCGCTGACGGGGCAGCTGGCCGACTATCCCACTCTCTCACACTCCTACAGCGGGGAGGTTGCCATCAACATGATTTGGTGCTTCCGGAGCAAGATGATCCTATGGAAGAAGCTGTTTTGGCAGCTGAGAGTGAAGAGGGCGGTGGAGATCTCTCTCCAGGGCGCCCGATGGAAGAAGAACCATCGCTGGCTCGCGATGCTCTTGGGCAAGGAGGTCGCTTTCTGGTGGGGACATCTTGGAGCGCTGCGGCAGAGGATGCATGCCCCAGGGCCCAGTGGCCCTGCCCCTCATGTGAACACCCTGGAGGCGATGGACGTTCGGGAGGATGACAGCGAGGACTGCACTGAGTTCATGTCGGGTGAGGACTATGAGGCGTTCACCGATGCCGCCACGAGCAGGACCTTTCGACTTCGTCGGGTGCAGAAGGTGCATTGGGCCGAAGGCCGTCCGGCCCGAGGCCTGACTCAGAAGCTCAAGAAGGGGGCGCAGAAGGGCATACATTTGATGGCCCGTGTGAAAAAGGGGGCACAGATGGACAACAAGTTCATGGTGATAGAGCTGTTCTCGGGTTCGTCGATGCTGACCCAGGTGGCGGCAGAACTTCCAGGATGGGGAGCCTATCAGCCGGTCGACATCATCCTTGGGGAGGAGAACGACATGGGTCAGCGAACAAATAGGGACCGGGTCAAGAACATGGTCAGGACCCTCAAGCCCGATCTCGTGGTGATCACACCGCCATGTGGACCTTGGTGCGCTTGGCAGCGAATACGGCAGGACTGGGACACGTTGGGCGACATCAGAAGGAAGCAGCTACCATTTTGGAAGCTGGCCAGGGATGTCTGGGACATCCAGGATGAAGAAGACGAGGACGCTGTAGGTGTGTACGCCCTCCTTATAGTTCTCCACCCAGGCTGCCTTCTTGGCCGGGGTTGCTCGCTTTGCCGGCACCGATCCGCTAGCCCTCGCCGGAGTCGATGGAGCACTCGCCTTTCCAGGTGTGGATGGAGCCGATCGTGCAGCCTGCTTGTCCTTCTCCCGTTGCTCCTTCCTCCAGTCCTTGCGGACTTTCTTCAAATGTCCATAGGCGTTCTCCAGCCGGCTCCTCACCTCCGCTTCCTGCATGGCGGTACCCAATAGACCAGGTTAGACTATTTTTTGTCTAAGATCTATTTTGTAAAAAAATTGTCTATTAGATAACTTTTTTGTTGCCTAAGACAACATGATTTTTGGCTAAGACAACTTTTCAACATTTGTCTAAGTCTATTTTGAAGAAACAGTCTTAGACTATTTTTGGCTGTGTCTGAGACAAGTTTTTTTGTCTCAGACAAATCAAAACTTCCTCAAAACTACCACAGGCACTGAGGAAGTTTACTTGCAGTTTCATCATGGGCATGAGGAAGTTTATGTTACAAAATTTGCATATTATTGCAGTTTCAGTCCATGTGCATGACAAACTTCCACACTTGCAGGTTGAAACTGCCTACAAACTTCCATCAAACTACCTCCAAACTGCCACAAAAAGAAAGGAAGTTTGGAGGAAGTTTTGAAAAACAGACGAGGCAGTTTCGAGGAAATTTCCTTGAAATTTCCTCGTTTGCAGCCGCGAAAATTTGTCTAAGACAGCAGATTTTTGTCTATTAGACAACTTTTGTTTTGTCTATTAGACAACTTTTCGTCACATAAAGTTGTCTAAGACAAATCACAAAAATTTATCTAATAGACAAATTTTAAGAAAGTTGTCTATTAGACAATTTTTTTTGTCTAACCTGGTCTATTGGGTAGGCGGGCCCAAATCCTTGGCAAGCTGCTCGAACAACTTCTGCTTCTTCTTGAAGGGAAGCTCATGGGGTTCCACCTCCTCTTGAGGCCGCAAGGCCTGTGGCACATCATGTGCGAGCTCTCGCTTCTTCTCCACCTCCGCCTCGACTGGCCTTGCCTTGTTCCCTCGTCGGTGTCCCCATCCGCGGCGTCATCCTTCTCCCCCTCATAGTCCAGAAGCTGCATCCTCCCATGGGTCAACTCGCCTTCCACATCCTTGAAGGCCCCAACAATGAAGTCCGCGCTGACCATCTCATCCGCGGTAGACAGTCGGATCTTTTCCAGCGGGTAGGCCTTGACTCGAGTGCGCAACCTCACCCATACCTTCTTAGGCACCGTGCCATCGCGTTCCACGCACACGACGACGGCTGGTCCGCTCCAGGACACGTTGTCTTGCAGTCTTCGGGCCAGGCCCCTCCTGTTCATTGGAGGGCCGTAGACATAGACCACCGTTCCCTCGCGGATGAGCTCCATCATAGGCGGTTTGGACCGTGCAGCCAATGCCCTCCGCAAACCTTCATGCGAATCGAGCCAGTGACAACCCTCAATCGCAGCGGCCCGGATCCTCTCGCTTCGCTTCAAGGCCTCCTCCTGGGTGATCTGCTCGTTCGCCTTGAACTTCACCTTGCCGCTCATGAGTTGAGCCATCAACGCTCCTGGGAGTGGAGTGTTTCGACCTGTGACCGCCTGAATCGGTGCGATGCCATTCTTCCCCACAATGCGGTTCTTCGAGGCAAAGCAAGCGCAGGCAGCAGTCTGCATATCCTGCAAGGTCTCGAAGCGAAGCTCCTGGATCGCCTTCATGAGCATGACCTTCACCACCGCCCCGTGGCGCTCGGCATGTCCGAGTCGCCATTTTGCCTGATCAGGCACCACTTCATGCTGCACCGCGAAGAGGTCATTCAGGCGGATGATCGAGCCCTGGAATTCTGTTCCACCATCTGTGATCAAAAGATCAGGGGCGCCGAACACATCATACCACAGACGACAGAGGGTGTCCGCCGCCCAGTCCGAGCTCGGCTCAAACTCCACAGCGCCCCCACGTGGTAGTCGGTGAGCTCATCGATGTAGTGCACCACAGCGTACTTCACCCCCTTGATGTCCCAAACAAAGAACACGTCACCACTGACCCGCTGGTTAAAAGTTGGTCGGCTTCGTGTAGGAGACCTGAGGGCGGCTCCCCGGCGGCCTCACCATGTTGCACACCTGGCAGCGCATATTTCGGATGCCCTCCAACAGATCACTTCCCCCCTCCTGCCAGGCTGACCATTCGATGAAGTCGATCATTGGAGAGGTGACCCAGCGCCACACGCAGATGGGCCAGTGTAGCCCGGGTACGTCGAGGTAGGAGTCGGGCGTTGCCCTCGAACTGCACATAGTCGTAGCGCTCCCCCTCTGCGCCCATGTGCCTCATCGGCCTGCGGAGCACCTCCTCTGGAGTGATCACCCCCTCTTCAACCTCCACCGGATAGGCTCCCCATAGTTCCAACGGGTATAGTTGCCCTGCCTTGCTCCACCGCCCGGCGGCGTCCGATCGTCTTCTAAGGGATCTTGCTCCTGCAGGGCCTGTGCCGCTAGACTGGTCTGAGCCGCCTGCAAGATGTAGGTGGCGAACTCCTTGGTCCACTTGGCCGCCATCGTTGAGCGACTGACCGTTTGGCCCTCGACCTGGATGGAGCCTCGAATTTGCTCGTGTTCATGCGGCATGTGATCACACCGCGGAACACCTGCCAGGGCCACCGCGAAGGACTGCTTGTTCACGTCCAGGTCCGTCGTCTTCCGGTAGAACTTCTGCGAGACAGGGTCCTTCAGCCCGAACTTGCACTGGTCGACGACCAGACGATAGACCATCTTGCGCTCCACCATGTACTTGGTATGAAGCAGGTGATTGAGAAGGCCGAGAGCTATGCCGCGGAGGAGATGAAGGCCGTGTTGGAAGCCCAGTTGGTCACTGGAAAGCTTCGGGTGGAGTATCAATGGCGACGGCTGGACGCCACCTGGCGGCAGGCCTATGAGAAGCCCTTGATCAAGGCGGTACAGGTCTACTTCGATCACAATGCCATCGCGGGGGTGAAGAAGGACGCCATGGTCGATCCGAGAAAGATCCTCAGCTGCAGGTTCGTGTTGACCAACAAGGGAGGAGAGACTCTAGAGGAGGCGGAGCTCAAGGCGCGGTGGATTCTAGGAGGCCACCGCGATGTGGAAGCCGGCAAGTATCCCACCTTGGCTCCGACGGCGAGTTTGTTGGGGCACAATCTGCTGAACATGATTGCGGTACAGAATGAGTGGGAGGTGCACTATGAGGATGTTTCGGCAGCCTTCCTTCAGGGTCAACCCCTGCCCGCAGAGCGGGAGGTCTATGTGAGGATGCCGAGCGGCTATCCCGAGGCGGTCAGCAAGCACATCATCGAGCAGGTGGGTGAGGGACATCGAGGAGATCTTCTTCGGCTGCTGAAGGGAGGTTTTGGTTTGTGCGAATCCCCCCGGTGGTGGTACCTCGAGTACAAGGCCACCCTGAAGGATATTGATCTGCACGAACTGAAGCTCGTTCCGGGAATGTTCGTGGCTTTTCACCCGGATGGACGACTAAGAGCCTTGGTGACCATCCATGTGGACGACGCGCGCTATGCTGGAGATGGCACATCGAACGAAATTTGGGATGAACTCCACAAGCGGTTGAAGTTCGGCCAGCATCGACGTGCTGTAGATGGATGGCAGAAGTTCTGTGGCCGCTATGAGCGACAGGACCCTGACACCCTTGAGTTCTACTACACGATGGCGGACTACATCGTGAAGATCCCCGAGGTGACGAAGGAAGAATGGAATCCCGAGAAAGGGTATATTTGAATGAGAGGGAGAGGGTGAAGATCGGCTCCATTTTGGGGCAGATCAACTGGGCCGCCAGACAGGGGCGCTATGACCTCAGCTATGGCGTCTCACACTGCCAGCAGCTGGTGGCTTCAGGTAAGCGAGAGGCAATGGAGTGGACAGCCAAGCTCATCAAGAAGGCCCAGAAGGACGTGGTCATCAAGATCCCGAAGCTGGGCTGCGACTTGCGAGATGCTGTGGTGGTGTCGGCCAGTGACGCTGCCTTCGCGGCTCAGCCCAAGGGCCACTCGTAGGGAGGAGTGGTTTGCATGATCGCCAACCCCGACGTCCTTGAGAAGAAGGCACCCGTTAACATCGTGGAGGCTCAGAGTATGAAGATCCAGCGGGTGGTGCGATGTTCAATGAGTGCAGAGCTTTCAATGGCGGCTGAGAGCTTTGAGCATGGGGACTTCATCCGTGCGGTGCTGGCCGAGTTGATGTACCAGGACTTCACACTTCCTCGTTGGAAGTGGTATGCCAGCCACTGGAAGCACTACTTGGTGATCGACGCCAAAACGGGCTATGACGTCCTGTCCTCCGAGAGCATGACCAGCGATCGGAAGATCCAGATCGATGCCGCGGTCCTCAGGGAGGCCTTGGTGGAGGAAGGCGCCGAGAACTATGTGCGCTGGATGCCCGGCAAGGAGATGATCAGCGACGGCCTGACCAAATGGAGTGACAACGGGATCCTCCTGCAGGTGCTGAGTGAGGGGCATTGGAGCCTCGTCGACACGGACGAGGCCAAGCGGCTTCGCCAGGAAGCCGCTGAGCGCAAGAGGCGCTACTTGAAGGCGGCGCGAGCGGCACCATAGGGGGTATGTGTGAATCCGTACCCGTCGGCCGTCGTGCCGCATCGACAACCCACGAAGCTGTGGGGCTCGAGATCTTAGGAAAAGGACGTCGCTGCCACTTTTGAGTGTAAGGCATGCTGTCAGGGTGTTGAGGATCTCCTCTCAGAACGGCAGACATGCCCTAGCCACCAGATCTAGGTTTGGAAATCGATTTGAGATGGTTTTGCATCTCCGAATGTTTCCATGTGGTCGTCTCCTGTGCCAGCAGGTGGGCATTCTGCTTTGCAAGGCCTGGGGGCGCCTTGAATCTAACACAACTCTGAATTCAATTGAATTCAAGCAAGTCTCGAAGCACGCGTGAAGTGTGCGCCAGGGCAATATAGCTGTGATCGACGTGCGCGAGGGGGAATGTTTCAGTAGACCCGCCAACTGCATAGAGCTGTAAGAAGCTAAGTTGCAGGACGATGGGCTTTGGCTCGATGCAGTTACAGCACATTTGAGGCCTCACCCATCCAAGACCAATCACTTCGCAGCCTTGCCGGATGATGAGCTGTTGGATTTGGGGGAGAGGATCATGGCTGGAGAAGGGCCAGGGCGCTCAGCAAGCAACTCAAAACTCTGATGGACTCGATGTAGTCACCGAGTTCCTTTTGCATCATACTGTATTTTGAATTGCATCTCACATGCTTATAAATGTTTGGTGTTTTCAATGTTTTCTCACTTGTGTGACTGGAAACCTTTTGAGGCCTCGGATCCTGGTGGGTGACCCCGATGCGCCAGTGGGCCTCGGATCAGTGAGACTGAGAGAAGTCACCGACGATGCACGACCCAGGCGAGTTGCCGACATGCGGCTTTGCTGTTGGCTGCACTGTTGCGGCTGTGGCCAAGGTGGGATTTGAGTCTAGAGGTATTTCATGGTATTTTCACATAGCAAATCGATGCAACTTCGCATTTGGCAAAGCTGGCTCATGGGAAGGGGAATCGTTAAATCAAATGGTGGACGATGGCAGGCTTTATCATTGGAGCGGTTCTCACAGTAGCATTGCTGGTGGCAAGCGGATTTCGCAACGCATTCGCTGCGATCAAGCAGCACCCGCGGTCCTGGAAGGAACGGACCGTTTCGTTGCAGATTGGGGGCATCAAGGCCACGTTTGCTGAGCATGCGCTTGACGTGAGCCGAGGAGGCCGAGAGCAGCAGTTTGTGCGCATCCTGCGTAACGTGCTCAATGCTTCCGAAGCCGCCGAACTTCTTGCTTTGGCGAAGTCACACCCAACCTTTGCCGAGGAGACCTTCGGAAACCCCGTCCGATCGCCATGCCAAGTTCTTGCCAACGACAACCAATGGAACACCGGGGACCTCGCTGACATGGTGCGAACTGTCGTTGAGGAACGGGTGCTCCCGTACATGAAGCTGGTGTTGAAATGCCATACGCTAGTTGCATCACAAGTCCTTGTGCGGCACTACCACAAGGAAGGGCGGCAAAGTTTCAGCCCACACACAGACCATTCAGCATTTGGAACGGCAGTCATTGATCTTACCCCATTGGACAAGAGTGGATTGTTTGTGCTGTGTGGAAATGGGCAAGATGTGAAGGATGCATCAGAATTTGCATTCTTTGTACCACTTCAGAGTGGCGATGCTGCAGTGCACAAATGGGATGTTTGGCACGGTGTTGCACTGAAGGAGGGTCATGAGCGTGTTTCTTTGATTGTTTGGGTCCAGCCGGCGGTGGACAACGACTCAGGTGTGTGCTCTTGGTACTTGGAGGCTGCTGTGGCGGGAAATGCTGAGGCAGCCTACCATTTGGGCATTGAAGCCTGGAGGCAACGACTTCTGGGGCAAAGCAAAGTGAGGCTTTTGGAAGAAGCGCAACGCTCCCTGCGGTCAGGGGCCTTTGCAGCGCTGCAGCAGTTGGGTGGCAAAGCGCAGGCAGAAGCTTGGCATTGGAAGTGTTGCAAGGCCTGCCAGGCATCCGCAGTTGGAAGGTCTGAGACTCTGCTAAGGCTAAAAGATTTAGCTCAAACTCAGGCCCGAGGTGTCCTTTTGCAAGACTTGGGGCGTGGCATGTTTGGGGGCAAGGGCCGCAAGCGCCACAGTGCAGAGATGCGGAAGGCCTTTGGCCGAGGATGGAACGAAGCACAGACAGAGCTCCCGGAGAGTGTTTTCGAGCAGGAGTGGACCAAAGATACCGGGGCCAAGTGGACCACCCAAACTCTCGCAGCCTGCACCTTTGATTTGGAGCGAGCACAGCGGATTCTCGAGCGTGCAGGACTTGCCATTTTTGAAGATCCCCGAGATCGGCTGCAGAGGGTTGCACTGCAAGAATGCCAACAAGAGTTTCAAAACTACTTTTCTGAGATTATGGTGGAGTTGAAGCACAGGGGCCTTTGGCCATCTCAAGAGTTAGACCTGGACTCAGAATGTAAGGAATGGTTTCAGTTTAATGAGGTTTGCAGCAGGTCACCCGGGCGCTATGACATACAACTTCCCAGTGAGAGCGAGGCGTGGGCTGGATTGGCCTTGGAGCAGCTGCCATGGAAATCGCTGGTTCAAAGGTTTCTGGGCGAGGATGCGCAGGAGAGCAGGAAGTTGGCGGTGGATTTTTTTTGGTTTTTCCAACAGGGAAACCCATGAAACCCTCATGTCGGTTCGGTTCTTTTTTTGGTTATTTTCTTCTCATCGCAAGGCACCCAAAACATCTCAAAAGCAAACCCTGTTGGCCGTTTGGGCAGATTTTCAGGAGCTGTGCCGCGGGGTTCTTCTCAGCCAATATGGCTCTTCCTTACAGGGCTGGCACCGTGACAACGAACATCTCTTCCAAAGGCCGTTGCAGCCGGCGATGCCCGCACACGCCATGACCATCTTCGCTCCCTTAGCAGACATCACGACAGAGATGGGCTTCGCAAGCTTCATGAAACCAGTTTAGCAACTCCAAAAACTTTTTATTGTGTGTCAAAACCCGCATAAGCAAAACCATGAGTGTCGTAAGGTTATGCAAACATTTTTGGGATGATGATGTTGCTGCGGCACTTGCTTAAGCCCCATTCTTTTCCTTCTAAGTCCAGGGTTGAGAGAGGGGAAGAGAAACAAACACAATTGAGTTGCATGTGTTGTTGCTATTGATTGCGACTCGGTAGGATTGATGATCAAGCATATGAAGGTTGTTCTGAACACCATTTTGTTCATTCCACCCTTAAGGGTTCTCTTAGTTGAAACAAAGGGCAGACTTAGCTCAGAAAGGAAGATGGGGAAGGAGACTCATCCCTGTCCCGGCGGTTGGCCCCCCTTTCCACATCAAGCGAAATAAGTGATCCATCCATCTCGTTTGGAATTGGGCCACGGGACTTGGATCACATCATGTGACAACTAGTTTTTGCACAGTAGCTTTGAATTTCACAAAGTTCTGATTGGGAGGTGTTTATGTCTAACGGCTGCCCCAAGTGACGGTCACTGGGGGGAGAGAGCACTGCAAGTCCCCATCAAGCAGTGTATCTCGATGGCTCCTCCATTACACTCTCGTCTCTAACCTTGCGAGAACATGGGCAGAGAATGAGTCAGAAGCCCTCTCAGCAGGTGAATTGTGTCTTCCAACCAATTGTTGTTGTAGTTGTTGGCTTTTGGATTTCTGATTCAGCAGTTTGGCCCCTGGGTACTGGGGCACTTTGAATGTGGTCCACGAGCAAGCTGTGGCTCACCTTGATGGTGTGTGCCCCAAAGGAGGGGACAAAACCATCTACCCAAAGGCTATAAGTTCTTCTGGGCAAACTGTTCAAGGCTTCATCGATGCCATGGCCAAAAAATAACCTTGGAGTATATAAAGGTTGTCAGCTGAGGTTTAGGCACTGAGTAAGCAAACTGCCAAGCGACGACCACGCAAGGAACCGCAAGCTTGTGTTTCTCACACTTCAAGCACATCAATGTCATCATTTGCTTCGTCCGTATCTTCTGGAACCTCTGATTGCTGCAAGGATAAAAGGTAGCGTGATGTAGCGTGTAAATTCTGCGATTCCAGAGTGCGTAAGTGTAAGCTCTTCTTGCCCGCCTGCCGCTCTGTAAGCCGAAATCTCGGATCCTCGTTCACTGATGACCCGGCCCCATTGCTCGCAGAAGGAGTCACATGGCAACCTGCTATATAATTACTGTAAATAGTATATCACATATATATATATGCTGGTCCAGGGGCACGTCCATATATCAGTGGGACGACTTTTGTATGGATTCATGCGGTTCATTGAGTGAGCATGCTTTGGTGGCCACATGATTCAACAAGGCTTCCAACCTGGCACCCACGTATTTCTGAAGCCAACGCCTGCAGCAGTCGTGACGCCTGAAGTGCCTTTCAGATCTTGGCTGGCCTTTGACAATCGCGTTGTACATCGTGGCGAGGCCAACAGAATCTTACCTTACATTTCTGCATCGTTTAATTGGGAGGCGGAAACTGTTCATTCAAAACCGTGGGCCACCACCCACCATGTGTAAGTAACATGGACCCTCCGGCAGCAAACAAGGAGACCATGATTTCAGACGAGACCGACCACTGCTGTACTTCGTTTATGCCAAGTCCTGGTTCAGAGACCAGCGGAACTTCCCCAGTGACAAGCCACTCCTATGCAAACCCATGCGGACGGGATTCTGCACACTTTGAAGCGGGCCACCCACCACCCATGCTGCAGGTGTCGAGACAATCCTTTGCTTTAGCACTGCGCCGCTGTCGAACTTTGAAGTTGAGGCACTCGAGGAAGATGAAGACCGGATTAATAACGCCCCCGCGTGGTAGGTCAACAAGGTCAAGAAGACATGAGATACCACTCATAAGGTCCACCCCCCCGGGAATAATCTGCTGATCGGCTAAGAAGCGAAGAGTAGTAGCAGTAGCAGGAGCAGGAGCAGGAGCAGCAGCAGCAGCAGCAGGAGGAGGAGGAGGAGTAGTAGTAGTAGTAGTAGTAGTAAGCAGTAAGTAGTAAGTAGTAAGTAGTGTTAATGGTAGTGGTGGTAGTAGTAGTAGTGGTAGTAGTAGTGGTAGTGGTAGTAGTAGTAGTAGCAGTAGTAGTAAGAGTAAGAGTAAGAGTAAGAGTAAGCAGTAGTAGTAGCAGTAAGTGGTAGGAGTAAGTAGTAGTAGCAGTAGGAGTAGCAGTAGTAGTAGTAGCAGTAGTAGTAGTGGTAGTGGTAGTCGTAGTACTTGTAGTATAAGTTTTTTGTAGTAGTAGTAGTAGTAGCAGGAGCAGCAGCAGCAGTAGTAGCAGCAGTAGTAGTAGCAGTAGTAGCAGGAGTAGTAGTAGTAGTAGTAGTAGTACAAGTAGTATAAGTAGTAAGTAGTAAGTAGTAGTGAGTAGTAGTAGTAGCAGTAGTAGCAGCAGTAGCAGTAGCAGTAGCAGTAGCAGTAGAAGTAGAAGTAGAAGTAGAAGTAGTAGTAGTAGTAGTAGGTAGTAAGTAGTATGTAGTATGTAGTATGTAGTGGTAGTAGGTAGTAGGTAGTACGTAGTAGGTAGTAGGTAGTAGTGGTAGTAGGTAGTAGTAGGAGGAGGTAGTAGTAGTAGTAGTAGCAGTAGGAGTAGTAGTAGGAGTAGTAGTAGTAGTAGGAGTAGGAGTGGGAGTAGTAGTAGTAGTAGTAGGAGTAGTAATAGTGGTAGTAGTAGTAGTAGCAGTAGTAGTAGTAGGTAGTAGTAGTAGGTAGTAGTAGTCGTAGTATAAGTTTTAGTAATAGTAGTAGTAGTAGTAGTAGTAGTAGTCGTAGTAGTAGTAGTAGTAGTAGTCGTAGTCGTAGGTCGTAGGTCGCAGGTCGTAGGTAGTAGGAGGTAGTAGGTATAGTAGTAGTAGTAGTAGTAGTAGTAGTAGTAGTAGTAGTATCGTAGTAGTAGTAGTAGTAGTAGTAGTAGTAGTAGTAGTA